AACTCTGATCTCTTGGCCTTCAGTAGTTTCAAGCCACAGACAGTGGCTGCAATAGATCCAGACATCGTTATGGCCCTGGGTGACGATGCACCCATCCACTTCAGCACACTGCTCACCGGTGACGATGCACCCATCCACTTCAGCACACTGCTCACCGGTGACGATGCACCCATCCACTTCAGCACACTGCTCACCGGTGACGATGCACCCATCCACTTCAGCACACTGCTCACCGGTGACGATGCACCCATCCACTTCAGCACACTGCTCACCGGTGACGATGCACCCATCCACTTCAGCACACTGCTCACCGGTGACGATGCACCCATCCACTTCAGCACACTGCTCACCGGTGACGATGCACCCATCCACTTCAGCACACTGCTCACCGGTGGCGATGCACCCATCCACTTCAGCACACTGCTCACCGGTGACGATGCACCCATCCACTTCAGCACACTGCTCACCGGTGACGATGCACCCATCCACTTCAGCACACTCCTCAGAACATGAGTCATTCTCTCTCCCTCCCTCCCTCCCTCCCTCCCTCCCTCCCTCCCTCCCTCCCTCCCTCCCTCCCTCCCTCTCTCTCTCTCTCTCTCTCTCTCTCTCTCTCTCTGTCTCTGTCTGTCTCTCTCTCTCCCACAGCACAACTCACATTTCTTCATCACACAGTGCCCTACTACCCAGCACCGCAAGGCACTGCAGCCTGTATTTTCTCCTCAGTTCCCGGAGCAGACTACCTTGAACTATTTTTTTTAATACCAGCTGTTCATTTTTATGTTTTCTTTAAAGAAAGAATCTATTTATAACTTCTACTCTTCTCAATAATCAGGTGGTTCCTTGCTGTTGAATTATCTGCATGCTTTATATGCACACAGTTAGTACATGGTTTGCAAATAAAGTATCCATTCCCCACGTTATCCTTTTAGTTTCACACTTGCTTTTGAGGGGGGGGAGCAGAGGCCATACCATTCTTTGTTGCAATCCCATTTTTCTTTTCTTTTCCTGCCTGTGTTTTGGACAAATACTTTTGAGCACTGAATATTGAAGGAATGATTTAAAGAACAAACATGCTTCATGTAGTGTTGCAGAGGTCTGGTGGATGTCAAGAGCAACAACACCTTGGCCAGGTTCTGACTGTGATGTGATTTCTGTTGGTCTCAGTCGCATGAGTCCAACAGCTTCCCATAGTGTGGGGATCTGGCGCTCCCAATCCTTATCAACAAAGTTTGAAATAGTTTGAAATAGTAACAAACTAGAGAAATGATCTCTGACAACCCTGTACGATAAAGGAACTTCCAGAGACATCACTATCCCCGACTTCAAGCTCTACTATAGAGCCATAGCCCTGAAACAGCTTAGTATTGGCACAAAAGTAGAGAGGTAGACCAATGGAATTGAATTGAAAACCCTGATATTAACCCACACACCTACGGACACCTGATTTTTGACAAAGAAACTAAAGTTACACAATGGAAAAAAGACATTTTTTACAAACGGTTAACTGGATGCTGACATGTAGAAGACTGCAGATAGATCCATGTCTACCACCATGCACAAAACTTAAGTCCAAATAAATAAAAAAATCCTCAACATAAATCTAGCCCCACTGAACCTCTTAGAAGAGAAAGTGGGATGTACCCTTGAAGGAATTGCTACTACAGGAGACCACTTTCCGAACGTAACACTAGTAGCACAGACACTGAGATTAACAATTAATACATGGGACCTCCTGAAACTGAGAAGCTTCCGTAAGGCAAAGGACACAGTCAACAAAACAAAATGGCGGCCCACAGAATGGGAAAAGATTTTCACCAACCCCACATCTGACAGAAGGCTCATTTCCAAAATATACGGTGAACTCAAGAAGCTAGTCACCAAAATACCTAAGGATCCAACTAAAAAGTGGGGTACAGAACTAAATAGAGAATTCTCAATAGAGTAATATAAATTGGCTGAAAGACACTTAAGAAAGTACTCAACATTCTTAGCCATCAGGGAAATACAACTCAAAACAACTCTGAGATATCATCTTACACCAGCCAGAATGGTTAAAATCAAAAACACCAATAACAGTCTATGCTGGAAAGGATGTGGAGAAAGAGGAACACTCCTCCATTGCTGTTGGGAGTGCAAACTTGTATGACCACTTTGGAAATCAGTATGGTGAGAATCAGTCTACCTCAAGATCCAGCAATTCCTCTCTTGGGCATATACCCAAGAGTGCACATTCATACAACAAGGACATATGTTCAACAATGTTCTTAGCAGTGTTGTTTGTAATAGCCAGAACGTGGAAGGAGCCTAGATGCCCCCTCAACCAAAGAATGGATGGGGAAAATGTGGTGTATTTACACAATGGAATACTATTCAGCAGAAAAAAAATGAAATCTTGAAATTCTCAGGCAAATGGGTGGAACTGGAAGAAAACATCCTGAGTGAGGTAACCCAGTCACAAAAAGACAAACATAGTATGTACTTACTCATATATGAATATTAGACATAGAGCTAAAGACTACCAGCCTACAATCCACACCACCAGAGAAGGTAGGAAACAAGGAAGATACCAAGAGAAGAACACATGCTCCCCCGGAAGAAGAGGTGGAAGACAAGGAACCCTGAGCAAATTGGGAACACTGGAGGAGAGAAGAGGGGGGTGAGAAGGTGAGATGGGGAGAAGGGAAGGGAGGAGGAGGACAGGAGGGATCAGGAGGACTGTGACACGGGAGGAATAGAGGACCACAAGAAAGGAGATGCCTTGATAGAGAGCCACTGTAGGTTTGGAGAGTGGTCTGGCACTGGGGAAATGTTTCAAGATCCACAGGGATAATTTCAACTAAGAATCTAGGCAGTGGTGGAGAGGCTGCCTTTGATTACCTTCCCCTATAATGAGACTAATGACTACCTTGGTTGCCATTCCTTGAGCCTTCATTCAGTAGCTGATCGCTGATCGAAGCAGAAGCAGGCACCCACAGCCAAACACTGAGCCATACTCCTGGAATGTAGTTGTGGAGAGGGAGGAGGGATGAGCAAAGGAGCCAAGACTGTGCTGGAGAAACCCGCAGAAACAGTTGACCTGACCCAGTGAAAGCACAGAGACCCTAGTCGTAAAGCTGGGGAACCAGCACTGGACCTGGCCAAGCCCTCTGAATGTGGGTGCCAGCTAGGAGGCCTGGGCAGTCTATGGGACCTCTAACAGTGGAGCCAGTATTTATCCCTATTACACAAATGGACTTTGGGAGCCCATTCCCTATGGAGGGATACTATTGCAGCCCAGATACAAGGAGGAGGGCCTAGGTCCTCATCCAGATGATGTGAAGGACTTTGATGGTCCCCATGGAAGGCTTCACTATCCTTGGGGAGTGGTTGGTGGTGGGTTGGGGGGATCAGTCCGAGGCATGGGAGGATGAGAGGGCAAGGGAATGGGGGATTGATATGCAAAATAAGACTGTCTCTAAAATAAAAAAATAAAACAAAAACACCACACACACAAAAAAAGAAATTTGAAATAGATGCTGGTGTTACTAACTTTACCATCATTGTGACAATTAAATCCTTGAAGACAAAATAATTTCACAAAACACTTAAAAATAAATGGAAAAGGATAAAGGACTCTTTTTAAATGATGGAAATGAATTTTAGATTTGTTGTTGAAATTGTTGTTTGTGATCTGAATCTAATACTACTCACTCTTCTGAGAAGAAAAGGGAAAAGTGTGAATTGTGAAATACCACTGTAGATGGACATTTGTAGATGGAGTTTCTTTCCCACTTGGTCCCATAGCTGTTTGTTCCCAATTAAATACACAGAGACTTACATTAATTATAACCTGTTTGGCTGATGACATAGGCTTCTTACTAGCTAGCTCTCTCTTAATTTGAACCCATTTTTATTAATGTAAGTATTTCCACACAGTCTTATCTTATCAGAGAATGTCCTGACCTGTTGTTACTCCTTCAGTAGCTACATGGAGTCTCTTTGGCTGCTTCTCTCTCCCACCTCTCCCCAGAATTCTCCTCACTTGGTAGCTCCGCCTATACTTCCTGCCTGACTACTGGCCATCAGTGTTTCATTCACCAACCAGTAAGACGAGCACAGATACCGAAGGACATCCCCCATTATACCATCAGCTTGTTTCTTCATTATTTAGTGCTTAAATGACAACAAAAACATGCTGATGATTAGTATTCAGTGAACTCTATATCAAAATAAATTTTACTTAAGTATCTAGTTAAGTTTGCAATTTGGTTGAACAAGATAATAAAGTATCACACATTTTGTTACAAAAAAAATAGAGACTTGAATGCAAACATATTATAATACTGGCAAGCATCACCTAAAAGGGCTAAGCTGTGCTGTTATGTCACTATTGTCAAGGAATCGCACTTCAGATACAATGAAAATGTGTTCTTTTGTTCAAATTATAAGCAATGGGACACTAATGGAGTTGCTGGCCTTCTTAACAAAAGCATCCTATCGGGAGAAGTAGGATGATAGAGATCAAAACAAAAAGGTTAACAACTTAAGAGCATATGAATTTGTATTTTTATCCCTTCCATCTGTTTTAATAAAGTCATCATGTTCTCGGGAACTACATAAAATAGACCAAGATGCCTGCAGACACAGGATGAGATTTTTGTGCATAGACAGCATGGATAAAGAAGAGAAAAATAAAGGCCACCAGGGCCACTGTGAATAGTTTCCCAACAGTATCTTCTCTTTAGCAGTCGTTTTAATACTCACCATGTGTAGCACTTTCCCAGCACTACTGTCTTGATTATGCGAACATGGGTATTAGCAATCACACAGAGACACATTGCAGTGTGCTCCGGAGTGTCAGGCGGGCTGGATGCTGTCCTCCAGGGCTGGATCAGGTGCTGCTATTTTCCTTTGTTGCTTACTGGAAATAAAATGCAAACTGCCAAATACATCTCAGCCACAAACACTGAAGCAGAAGGAAGACAGGTAGCAAATGCACAGAAGCAACTGTCAGATTGTTCAAACCAGATCACACTCAGAACATATTGAGACTTTATTTCCCTTCCTCCCAATGTTCATTAACATTTGCTCTTTTGTTTCTCTGTTTCACCAGCTTGGGCAACATTTGTGAAAGTCTTTGAAGCTACAGTATTTGCTATGTAATTATAGAATATTTGTGATATCTGATGAAACAATGAGATAAATCTGGTTGAGATACAGTGATAAGAATTCTCTGGGTTACTTTAAAGTCTACCTTTTAACATCATTCTTAAAAGAAGCAAAAGGTAATTAATAAAAGTAGAGAAATGATTTTAAAGTGCATTATAAATGAGCTATTTGACTTTTAGGAGCGTTCTCTGATATTAAAATAATAGTATATAAATAATCCCGGCATGAACATAACTAAATATATGTTTGTTATATGACTTAAAGATTCCCGCAAGTGATATGCTAGTAGCTTTATGTCCTTTATGATTTTGTTTCATATGATAAAAATTAACATTTGATTGAAAATAAATTATATTTCAATTCTTTCTAACAATTTTCAGCAATAAGTTGACACTCTATTGTAACTTCCATATGTATTTGTTTTCTCTGTTTCTCAATCATCTGTCAGAACATGTTCTTGCCATTTATGAGCCTCTAGTCTTTGGATTGCAATTATCACCACAAGATTACATTTCATAATGAAAAAAGTCAAACAACTTCCTTTTTGTAGTTCCCTTTATTAACCAAACTATAGGGCATGTCTATTTTGTAAAGTTTTCAGTACTTTCCATCAGTTTTAGTAGATGTGTAAAGAAAGAACAGCTTGATTTTAAAGTGAATACTGAACTCCACGCTGTTGGTGGTGAAAAATCTTGTTTGGGCTTGTACAAGGAATACATTTACTATGTAAAACACAGCTGGAAAGAAATAGCATAACATCTTCTTGAGAAGCCCTTGTTACACCAAGACCCCACAGCAAACCTGTTAGAAAAAATTCTCAATTTAAACATTGATTCTTGGTAGGAAAGAGATGGTTAATTATCCTAAAATGTTTCCTTTCTGTGTGTTGTGTTTGTTTGGTTGCTTTAACACTGAGACCCATTCTCCAGAGTTCAGAAGCTGAAGTTTCTATTTTGGGACAGTCAGTTACAATTAGCAAGCACAGTTGAGAATTCCAGCAAGCACCTAAGTCATGTGTGAGCAGACTTCTTCAGTGCTATGATACTGGGTGCTTCAATTTTTTTTACACTTCATGAACACATTAAATTGCCCCTTAACTTCAGTCATAGGGTTGCAAACTGGAACAAAACTGTATTAAAAATCCATGGCTACTGTAACAAATTAGTGAACTAAACAACAGAATTCTTGTATTTGCAGAAGTTGGTAATTATAAACAGATTTTACAGGAACTTTCTTCACTTTAGAAATTAGTAGTCATATACTGTCCTTGATAGATAGGGGTGGGCTCTCTCTCTCTCTCTCTCTGTCTCTCTCTCTTCTTCTTCTTCTTCTTCTTCTTCTTCTTCTTCTTCTTCTTCTTCTTCTGCATCTATACACCAACATATTTTCTTCAACTCTAATTCTTATTTCAGTCTTAAGGGCCTGCAGCTAAAATAAAACTATATATGCAATCCTGGAAATATAATTAATATCAATTAATAAACAATAAATTTTATACAAATACTCCTTCAGCAATTGAAAATACATTCCAACGTGCCCACTGCTAACATTAATGTCATCTCCTATTAATTGTCTTTTGACATCATTGACTCATTTTCTTGATAATATCTTTATTAGTTGAGAAGTTTGGATAGTGATCTTTATAATTTCATTAATTAAATAAAAGTATGACAATATTTGTCTCAGAGTGTCAAAAACATTTTGAAGTATTCTTGATAAATATTTTTGTCCTTCCATTTATTCTTATTCATTCATTCATTCATTCATTAGTTTAACATCTCCTTCTCAAAAGTGAAGAGAAATGGAAGAGTCTAAAGAAGACACATTACAATTATGTCAGTAAAGTCAGTTAGCTATGTAGAAAAGCATTTGCAGCCCTTTACATCCTACAAGGTCCTACAGTAGAGACAAAAGCTTTTCAATTTTGTAGCTTAATAAATGAAGGCTCGGCATTTAAATAATGTCACTGGAGTTTAATATCTGAATGGCTTAAAAGGCTCTCTCATTACACTGTGCTGCCACGTGAGGTGATATTGCTGAAAAGCTGTTGAGTGCTATCCTTTAGCCCTTTATCCTAGAAAATCCAATTTAGTTGACCTGTCATGCTTTATGAATAGTGATTGAATTAACCAAAGAAAAGATATTTTATGAAGTAAGCAATCTTCATTTTGGATAAAGCACACCCTCAATATTTACTTACATACAATTTTCAGACCCCTTGAAGCAAATAAAAAGCAAATAGAAGTTGAAAAATAGTGACCATGTATATTGTCTATTTATGAAACTATCTGAAAATTTATATAAACTAAATTCATATAAAAGATACAAAATTATTGATTGAAAAAGTAGTTTTAAATACAAAGTAAAATACTTTGAAATTAAGTTTAAAAATGTTTTCCACAAAACAGACATATCACTAGGCAGGTCTTGTTTTAGGTACCTACCTAAAACTTTAGGTACTTCCCGAAGCTATGAGGAAACCAGTGTGATATCATTATTCACTGATCATTATGAATGAAAGCTCTTATGTATAATTACTATTGCAACAGGGACTCACATCAGGTCTTTGCTGCAACAAAGCATTTGTGAGCCATCATGTGGTTGCTGGGAATTGAACTCAGGACCTCTGGGAGAACAGCTAGTGTTCTTTAACCACTGAGCAATCTCTCCAGCCCTACAAAGCATTTGTTTAGGAGTTTCATGAACAAAGGCATTTGTGGAGAGTTGTGGGAGTCACACAATCAGGTGGGCAAGACTGTACTTAAAGCTCCAGGATACTTAAGGATTTCTAGTGGTCTGCCCCTCTGACCCAGAGGGTTGCTACACATTATGGGTTCTGTGAAGGTAAAGAACAGTTATAGATTAGAAAGATTTTTTTTAAGTTTGCTTTATCCTTTGGGAAGTTCATGCATGTATTGTGGTGAATTCTGATAATATTTACCCCGATTTTCTCTTCTTGCCCCGCAATGGCAAAATATCACTTTCCTTCCTCCAAGTTCCTTTCCCTCTTTCACATCTTTTGTTTTCAAACCTTACTGACTTTAACCATGTAAGCACGGGCATCCTGGCCAGTGTTATATCAACTTGACATAAGCCAGGGTCATTTGTGAGGGAACTTAAACAAAAATACTCTCACTAAATTGGCCAATAGGCAAGCCTGTGGTGCATTTTCTTGATTGATGATTGGTGCGGGAAGGCACAGGTCACTTTGGGTGATGCCATACTTGGGCTGGTGGTCCTGGGTTCTATAATAAAGCAGGCTGAGTAAACCATGGAGCTCATGCCTGTTAATAGTTCTTCCCAGTGACCTCTGCATCAGCTCCTACCTTCAGGTTCCTGCTCCTTTTGCATTCCTGCCCTGACTTTCTTTAGTCATGGACTATCACTGGATATGTAAGCAAAACAAACCATTTTCTCCCCAAGTTGCTTTTGGTCATAGTGATTTTGTTGTTTTTATTAATTATCTTTTATTTTTGAGATTATACTTACATCTCTTTCCCTCTCTCCTCCCATCAAAGCCTCACATAAACCCCTTTTGCTGTTTTTCTGATCCATATACTTTTTTAAATGAATTGTAAAACTACAAAAGAAACTCCAACTAAGACAAAAGGTGTGGAGTTATCCAGTGGAACATAGGGGGTTCATCTAGGGCTATTTTGATGACAATCATCTTCCCACGACCCATCAGCTGTCAATAGCCAATAACACCTCTCTTGCTTCTTCCCTGTTAGTGACTTAAATTTGAGAGACACACTCTTCTAATGCCCCAAGAAGCCAACCCAGGCTTCTGTGAACCCATAATTGCAATGACAATGCTGCATTTCTCACTCCTCTTTCTTCCCATCACCTGGCTCTTACATCCTTTCTGACCCCCTTTCATGATGCTTCCGAAGTCTTGCATGGACTAGCATTGATGTCTCATTTAGAGGTGAGCATCCCTTGGTCACTTATTCTCATCACCTTGAGCATTCACTAGTCTCCACATTAATAGCACTTCTAAAACATACAGACAGACAAAACAAAAAAACCTTCCCTAAAGAAGGATGAGGGTGGCCTTGTCCATGGGTAGAATTGAAACCAGTTTGACTATATGTCTTCCCAGTCTTGGGATTTAATCTATTCAAACTCCATAATTCATATTTTTACCTCTCTTTCCCATGGAAGAACTAACTATCCAGTAAAATTTTAATAAAAGTTCTACTTTCTTTTAAGAATATGGGATATGGGTTATGGGTGGTAAAGACCCTCTCCGGGGATGAATCCATCTCTGGCAAATAGTTTTGACCCTGTTAGCTAGCTTCATGCCCAGATGTCATCTTCAAGATGACTCATACTGTAGCTGTGTGACTACCAAAATTAGTAATTAAAAAATAAGCTAAAAGTAAGCAAAACTAGAGGATTTGCTTAAGTTTTCTAGTAGCAACAGTTTTTTTTTAATTCAGTAGTCTATAGAGTATGCTCTCTCAGGACAAGGTATGCTCTCTCATTCAACCAGTTCTCATTATTAAAGCAGTTGCTGAAATGACACAGGGCATTACAACTTGTACTGTAATGCTGACTAGGTCAGCAGGTCTCATTAAGGTCACGAAAACATTGAAGAATTAATTTGGGGGGAAAAACTCTTCAAATTCCTACACGTTAAGGTGCTAAATCTAATCACACTATTGGCTTTATCACTAAAACAGGAAGGTAAGAAAAACAGGACAGATGAAAACATTACAGAGCTAAGAAGAACTATGAGAACTTTAGAAAGAACTAAAGTAAAAACGCAGGCAGATGATTAAAAATAACTACAAAAATAACAACTATTATAAAGTATGAGTAAGGTGTCAGTTGAGAAAAAGGTACTCAAATACTGAACTTAGCCAACACGGTAGACCACACCCTCTCACATCACAGGGAAGAATACATGTGATAAGTGAAGCTTTGCTGGGTATTTGCTAAGAAGATAGGAGGGCAGGATGTGAAGGGGAGAGATAGAAGGACACGGGGCACTAAGAGCGATGGAAGGTAAACTGAACTGTACACAGAAATACCAGCACAAATGCTGAGGAAACAAGCTCCTGCTTTTGAGCACCATTCCGAACACCATTAGTGGAAAACCATGTGAGCATCGAAAAAGAGTGCTCTAAAATTTCTCCCCACAGCTTTATTGCTGGTCAACAGGTTGGCTCACTTAAAAAAATTGTGTTGTAGTTTTATAACCATTTCGCATACATCGTGAAACAGAGAAAATAGTAAGCAATTGTCAATAGCGACCAAACAAATTCTTTCTTTTTTTTTTAAGGAGGTGAGATCGTTAAACCAAAAAGTGAAAGTGAAGTAAAAGTTGTTCTTATTTCGTTACATAAGTCACCATAAATTATATATCTATATATGTGTGTGTATACATATATATATACATATATATATATAATGAAATTAGGAAATAATTTGAAGGCCTAAAAGATCCAGTTACTTTACAAACAATGAGAAACCCAGTCATTCTTCTACCATGTAGTTGACTAAATAAACTAGATCTACTGGACACATTCTAAATTTAAAGCAGAGAAAATACAACACGGGACTAGAACATGTGTTGTGAAAGGAGACAAGACAAGGATGCTGCTTAACAGGAAGTCAGAAAGTGCTTCCAAAGGATAAAAATTCAGTGGTAAAGAACTCCCCCTGGCCCAGGATAGAACAATTAGAGTCATAAGTGACAGGACTTAAGGCATAGCAATAGCAAATGAAAATCCACAGTTCATAGTGAGATGAAGAGAGAGGGATGAAAAAAAGTTACCTTGCTCACAGGCCACAGAAACAGGTACACTGCAGCACAGCCTATATTCAGGAAATAAGACGTTACTAGAAACACCCATTGATTCCTTCAGACATACAATGATCTGAAAGTCTCATTCTTCACTTTCCCCAAATTAAAGCCTCAAACCACTTACAACTAAATTATAAAATGGCTACAAAATAATTATATTTTTGGTTGTGAGCCTAGCCTTTAAAGGCTGAGCCATCTCTCCAGTCCGGTTACAGAATAATTATAGGACATTCAAAATCATGTATGTTTCCAACTGGTACAAATACTGGACTCTGATATCTGATTACTATAGTGAATATGAATTAAATATATATTACTTGGTGAAATATTTTCAATGGCATTTACAAACTAACACAATTACACTGACAGAATAAGACATTTTTATAATGATGGTTATATTTACTGCAATAAAAAAGCTATCATAAATTTAAAAAATCAAATATTTCCATCACACCATAAAATATTTTTAGAAGATAACATATATTAGTTCAGAGATGACTACTAAAGAATATTTCTAAAAGTTTTGTATTCTCACTGAGTTTATTTATTTTTCTTAATAAATATACAATCAGATATTCTTCAGTGCTTGGGCAAATTAAAAAGCTCTTTCATTCTGAAATGAAGAGATTAGAAACTCAGGGCACTGGCACGGAGGGAACACATGATTCCGGGGAGTTTATTTAGCTGTAAAAGTCAAGATTGTGCTGTTTAAATAATTGATGCATCTGTGTGGTTGCTGAGGAAGCTCCAAATACACTGTTTACAATTGTTGCTAAGAAACTGCAGTTTCCCCAGGAAAATGTCTTGATATGCTATGAGAATTGTCTTTTTTATAATAACTTCATGCTTCAGAATTATACTTCAATAAAATTCTCATCTCTCTAATGTCATAGAAATGTATATATTTATATCTGTAATTTCATGAAATTCCATTATTCAAAGCTCCAAGTGCTTTCCCCAGATTTACATATTCTAGATTAGAAAAATAGCCAAGTAGATGACTGAAATTATATTTTGTTAGAGTTATATGTTAAATGAAAGCAAATTTTTAGAAACTTTTGAATAATTGGAGGCTAAGGCAACAAGCATCCTTTAAGAAGGCAGACATGCTGCCCAGCCCTATTCCACAAAGTGTTTTGTCTTACCATAACTTGATATGATTTGTTTCGTTGATGTTCTTGGGAGGACTGCTGCTTTCTGAAAAGAAATGAAGAGTGGATGGGTGAAGGGGGCAGAGGGGAGCTACTGGGGAGAAACTGAGAGGAGCAGATGGGGGGGGGAAACTGTATCCAGGATGTAAAATAAATAAATAAATAAATTTTTAAAAAAAGAAGGCAGATACAGTGCTGAGTTCAAATCATCTCAAAAGACTTAGTGAAGATTAATTAATTCAAAAGTGAATGGTATACTTCATACTGTAAAAGGAAAAGTAGTGTGTGTGTGTGTGTGTGTGTGTGTGTGTGAGTGTGTGTGTGTGTGTGTGTGTGTGTGTGTGTGTGTGAACAGGGAAGCCATATTTGTCAGTGGTAATACCTTCTCTGGAACTGTAATTTTTTCTTTGTAGATAATACACGAGTTTTTGTCCTATGTTTATAATCCTTGCACCAATAATATAAATGCCTGTGATCAAACAAAATAAAGATCCTCAGGTACAAAAGTCACTTTTTTCTTCAAGTTTTGAGGCAGGGGCTCATGCATACAAGACTAGCAGCAAACTAACTGACAACCAAGGATAACCTCGAACTCTTGCTCCTCTGGGCTCCACCACCTGAATGCCTGGGTGAGAAGAGGGGGATCTTTGCACCCACCTTAAAAGTACACTTCTCAAACCATGAAACTTTCTGCCACATAGCTAAGGAACATTTCCAAGCAACAATTAAATGTTATTTTCTAAGTATATAAATTAACTTAATTAGGTAGTGAAATACATTTGAAAGATTTTGATTCTATGTTCTTCATTTGGGGAATTTACTCACTGGTTTCTTGGCTATAGCCTGACCCTATTCTAAAATCCAGCTGCCTTACTAGGATAAAACAGTGATGATAATCTGACTAAATGCAGCACATATTTCTGAACTGGAAAAATGGAAGGAGACAGCATTAAACTAAACAATCAAAATCAAGTCCTAAATTAACCAACGACTGCTGTTAAGCTCATAAAATGATGGGGACTGTTTGTACTGGCTCTTTTTTTACAAATGTGGAGGAAAAGCTTGGGAGAGATGACATTAAAAAGGACACAAATGGCAACTGGGTGTGACTTCCTGAAAGGAGCCAGGATGAGCTCCCTTGCAGTAAGCTCAAGTCAGTATTCAGGACTGTTTGTCAGGACAGAGTACAGTTACTGCAGTACTCTTGGGAACAGGATGTTCCTATGGAAACCACCACATCCTGCTCAAAGGCTTCAGATTTCTTTTTTCCCCGTGACCTTTCACCCAATGGTGTTTCAGCATTCCAAGATATTTTGATGGTCCTCTTTTCCCCATTGTCTCTACACCTTCACCTGTGTCCGTCAACATCCTCTCATTCCTTAAATGCCAGATGCTGGCTCCTGATGCCCCAATTTATCTCTGTAGTCATGGTCTCGAGACCCTCTCCTTTCCACACTTACGTTAGTGACTGCTCAAAGCACAGCCATGTCATTCTCATGGAATGAAACACTGGCAGTCCGCAGACCCAATATCATCATCGTTAAATAAAATTCTCTGCTAGCCACTGACTAAAGCAAAACTATGTTGTTATTTTTTTGAGTCCTAATTTCCTTGTATTAGCTAACTCAATTTCATAAGCATACCCTATTAGCTATACTTTCACGATACCTCCAAAGTGTGATATTTCAGGTAATTTCTTGCTAGACACGATTTGTAGTATTAGTAATGTATAGTCTGAAGTTGAATATATTTTTGGTTTTCCAGTTAAATAATTGTTGCTGGTTGTCTTATTTACCAGTTCTATTTTTTCAGGGTTTGCCTATAAAGCTCTAGTTATCGTTAATTTCCTAATTGCCCCATCTAACAATGCTCAGGGGTTGCCTGATACGATAAGTGAAGGAAGAGAACCACAAACTCACAGATAGCTGGGATCAAGCCTACTGGGCACTCTGGTGGAGAAGACACAACGTTCCAGCAGCTCAGCATGTTTATTATATATAATAAACAAGGAGGTGGGGATATTGCACAGCCCTGAAAATAAGATGGGATTATTACATACAGATAAGCAATGGGGCTATTATTGGATAGAGCTGAATCCAGGAGGCAGAGTTTACGATATACAGTTGAACCCAAGAGGGGGGTGTATACTAACCTGGGTAGGAACAGTTTGCATGAGAAGAGTAGTTTTCACGACATCAGTATCTGAGCGGGGAGCTCTGGTGGGCATTTTCTGTCCACATTTGCTCCTCCACCATCATGGACCATTGCACCAATGATCTGAAGAAAGGTTTGCCTTTCCCCCTGATTTTATAAGGCTTCATTAGAATGTAGCAAATCGGATTTTATTGTTCACTGTGCTTTCTTTGATTTATTAATTGTTCATTTATTAGACTTAGTTTTCCTTCCAAATGTTTCAGTTATTATAACCTTGAGTTGTCTCTCCTTAATCAAGTACCCATGTTGTTATAATAAATGCAATTGCCCAGTGTTCGCTTTACTACTGTCTCACCATTTTTAAATAGAGGGTGGTTTTATCAGTTCTACACTGAATATACTAATTGTATTTGGATGTATCTAGGATTCAATAAGCCTTTTCTATGAAAATTCTTTTATAATTATTATATATTGATTCTAATGTAATATGCTTATTTTACTCTATCTTGGCATTAATTATTTTATTTTTATTAATAATTCATTTGCAACTTAAGTTCTTAGGTAGCCCTTAGCAGAATTTTTAGTTAATGTAAGATACATGGGACTGGAGAAAAGGCTCAGAAGTATACAGTGCTTTATGATGTTGCAAAGAACTTGACTTCAACTCCCAGAAACAAATGTAGGCACCTTACAACCACCTATGATGCTAGTTCCAGGGAATTTGATGCCTTCTGTCCTTCAGGAGCATCCACATATATGTGTACCTATGTAACACATGCATATATAAAATTAAAAATAAAAAATAAATCCTGAAAAGAAAAGATGTACCTCTTTTACAGATGTCCCACAAATTTCAAATCTGTATGTTCGTATGATTTTTCTAGTTTCCAGTGATCTTCTTGGTGGGCTAAAGCTATCTTTGAACTGAGCTATTAAAGGTGAAAGAATCAGCAAAGGCATAACTTTATCTTTCAAAGCCAGTGTCATAATTTAATTTCCCCACTATGCCTTTATATGAAAAGAAACAAAAGTTTTGTTCTTTAATTTAGTAAATCTCAGATTGAAACTCACCTAGTCCTTCAGCATTCTATTTCTTCACAAGATCATCCCTCCCTGTGCTATGATACTATTTCAGCTCAGGAATTCATAGAATAAAAACAGGTTATTTGAGAATGTTTAGAACATGAAAAGGGAGTGTGTACAGCACCAGCATATGGTTTTGCTAGAAGGCCTGCTACACTGCTGTCTCTCTTTCCTTCTCTCTACTACTACTACTGCATATGAGCACATACACACACACAGGCACTCACACCAACTCTCTCTGTCTCTCTCTCTCTGTCTCTCTCTGTCTCTCTGTCTCTCTCTCTCTCTCTCTCTCTCTCACACACACACACACACACAGTTTCTCCTACAAATGGAAAAGAAAACCTTGCTAATCATTCATGTAACTCTCCCAGCTATGTTGACACAAACTGAAGCTATAATAAATCTCTGTCCACAAGCAGAGATAGATTTTGGTGTCAACTCTTGCTTTTAATTCCAGAATCTCTCAGACAAAGGATTTTATTTTCCACTGAGACAGTTCAGATATTTTTTGTCTATGTATGTTTAACACGGTGATATTGTTTCATTATGTCGTAAACTAGTTCTCTGCATTGGCAAAAGAGCAAAGATCCCTGTAATATGAAACAATATCATACATTCAAACAATTTATTCAAAACAACATCTATATGGACAGAGATGCAGGATAAGATCTGTTTTAGTGCCTCTTATAAAAGTGTAAAATACTGTCTCAAAAAAACAAACAAAAAACCCCAAAAACTGTAAAATAAAAAAAGAAACAAGTCACTGAGAATAAATATTTGATTAAAAAATCAATACTATTCCAGAGAAAATCACTAAACAATCAGTTGAAACAGAGAATGTGTTAAGAATTATTGACAAACCAGAGAATACAGTTAGTTTTTAAAAGAACTGTTCACTGGATACATCTACAAAATACTCTTGTGTGTAAGCCTCAGGGAATACCGGGGAAGAGGAGGCAGAAGGATTGTAAGAGCCCCAAATCAGGGAGTTTGCTGTGAGATTATCTCTTAGCAGTGTCAGAAGCTACACACATACAGTCTCACCAACATAACTGAGCAAGGACAGGGAGGGCCTCGCCAAACCAGACAGACAAACACCTCACAAGGCTTACATAAATACAGGCCACCTGGGAAATCTGGGAGTGGAGGAGGTGGTCCTCCAGAGGGAAGAGCACACTCATTGGTTGGGTGTACTGGGCAGCCCTGAAAGCTTACACACAAGTAACACTGTATGGGCTGAACAGGTTACTTAGCAATGTGCACACACACACACACACACACACACACACACACACACACACACATATACATATGCAAATGAAATAACAGTGCAGAAAGAGACTCTGAATTTGAAGGAGGTAAGAGAGGGGAACAGGGGAGGGTTTGGAGGGAAGAAAGGAAAGGAAGAAATGTGTAAGTATCATCTCAAAAACAAAGGTAAGACTCAGAAAACTTAAAACTCAGTCCTCTAGGCTTGGCCTTCTGAGTGCTGGGGTTAGAAGTATGCACCACCACAGAGGGCAAAAGTACATTTTTAACAGAAAACAAAAAGCAACCTTATTCATATGGAAGTTGACATATTCATTTCTGTGTCTGTAAGTTTTAGTGATTGTGTATAAAAGCACACTATACCACAAGCATAGAATGCCCAGTGATTTTTTTATGTTATCCACTTTGTATTGGCAAAAATTGAGTGATAAGCTTCAAAACCAAGCTAAAACTTAAAATTCTAAAGGCTGTATCAGACTTTCAGGTAGAAATAGTTGGTGACTACCAGCACCAGAGAAAATGTTTCCCAATGTAAGTGTGGACTTTTACAGAATTGTAGAATCAATAATTAAATGAGAGCAAGAATAGAGAGAATTATGAAGAAAATAAGTCTTGGATCACTGTGAGGTACCTGCTTGATAGTCTGCTGTGGAGAAACAGAAGAAATACAGAAATTTCCTGCAGTGACCCATATCCTAAGATGTCTTTGAAGTAAAATGCAGAGTTTATGTAATTAAGTTGATAGGATGGGGCTTGATTTAACTCACTCAATGTAATCTATGATTTGAAGTGCCTAGGTAAATAATTGGTTAAAAAGAAGTTTACACTCCAACTTATCTTCCATATTGTAAGGGATGGTGAAAACAAGTAAGTTCAGAAAATGTAGCTTGTGTTTCATACAGCTACTTCATTCTCTTATTAGCACATTACAGAAAGTATCCTTTAGAAAATTGTGAAAGTCAGATGCCTATCCTTGTTGTATATTCTCCTGTACCAATCACTTACTCATTTGCTTGTTCAGACTAAGATTCATGGGAATAGAAATAGATGCTCCAGGCTGAGACAGCGTCCATCTACGTGGAATGCACTTCCAAAGTTCATCTGGATCCTAGGGATAAATGCTGATCTATTGCCCGAGGCCCCAAAGAAAGTAGAAGCCTCCTCACTGACATCCACGTTCAGGGGTCTGGATCAGTCCCATGCTGGCCTCTCAGCTATCAGTCTGGGGTCCATGAGCTCCCCCTGGTTCAGGTCACCTGTTTCTATGGGCTTCACCTGCCAAGTCTTAATCCCTTTGCTCATCACTCCTGAAACTATCATTTTTAAAATTTATTTTAAATAAGTTTTTCATTGAAATGGAATTTCATCACTTTATTTCTTCATTTTTTTCTTCCAGCTCCTCCTAGGTTCCTTCCCTCAAAACTTTATGTCCTCACTCCCATTTTTAAGTTAATATGTAACGTGTTGTCTTCCCTGTCAGCTCCCTGGTCCCTGCCGAGCTGTCTGAACCCCCAAATAACATGCAAGACACTATATTAATTATGAACTGTTGGCCCTTTGCTTGGTTTCTTATCGGCTAGGTCTGACTTGATTACTAACCCATAATTATTCATATATATTTTATAAGAACATATCTCTGCTAGGATACCCTCCTGCTATGTCCGTTCCTCCCAGGAGTCACATGACCACCAGACTCTTCACTGCATTTCCCAGAATCCTCCTAGACTCCTAGTCCCATCTGTCTTGCTTCCCTGTTGGCCAACAGTGCTTTATTGACATATACACAGGGCTCTCCCCTCATTAATAGACTATTTTTCTTGGATAGTTATTACATACATGTGTATGAACATGTGCACACATGTCTATATGTGTGTGAGTCTCTTTTTGTTTGTTTGTGCCAATCAGTCTGCTTGTTGTAGAATATTATTTTATGGGGTGTTACTTTTCTTATGCCCTGGAACATTTGTTTAATGATGCAAAGATGTGTTTGATTAAAGTAAATTCACCTGCGGTCAGGAGGCTGAGTCAGAAAATACCTGACAGGGAGTTGCAGAGAGAAGCCATGTGGAGAAGGGGTTATAAGGAAAGGTGAGAAGAAAATGCATGAGAACTTCTTGGGAGACTTAAGGAGGTGAGCTGCTTGCTATTCAGCCTCTCTGGTAAACAGAGTTCTACCTCATCCTTTGAATCTTGAGTTCTTTAGCTGGAAAGAGATTTAAATAAGTTTCCTTAGTAGCCTTGAAATCATTGGTGCTTCAGGGAACTGGCTGTTGTGGCCTAGCCACTGCTGGTAGCTCCCAGCAGCAGGACTACTGTTGCTGAATTGGATAACAATAGCTTAAAAGGCTGAAATAATTAAAAGAAAAACAACAGGGCTTATCTCTGGGAGGCACTACCTCTCCTTTTCCCAGTGGTCATCATTTGCCTGTAGTTCTTTTTCTTGGGAAGTGATCTGGTGAACATTTCCCTCTTGTACTTTATAAGTCCATTGGTGCTGCATTGGTTTCTGTGTTGTCTGTAAGTCCTTTCTAGGAGGAGTTCTTTCTCTGCAGACTTTTCCTGTGTTCTAGCTCTTGCTCTCTTCCCCAATGTTCCCTGAGCTATAGATGCAGGGGAAGTGATGTAGATGTCTCCTTTAGGACTAGGATCCCCATGAGCCACTGATGTCTGCACTGTGTCCACTTGTGGCTTTCTGTGAGGGGCTCCATTTGCTGTAAGGGGGGCCTCTTTGACAGGGGTGGTAACTAAAAGCTGTGAGTATAAGGGAAAGATAGAATGTAGTAAGGAATTATTCTGGTCTGGTGGTAATAGATTCTTTTCTAGTGGCCATGACATTACTAGCTTTGGGAAGCATGATAGCTTTCCAGTACCAGTAATAATTTACCCCATTTGGTGTGCCTGAAATCCAATTAGGCAGCTGTTGTTACTTAAAGAACTTTTATGCATAACTCACCTTTCTGGTTATTATCGTGGTTCAAAGTTGTTACAGCTGGGTTGAACTGTTTAATTCCTTCTCTTCTTTGGCAACTTGTGTAATATTTTCTGGTACCATGAAGGTTATACTATAGGAAATGTGTTTTCAGGGCATATCCAAATCAAATTTTTTGAGTCTTCTGTCATAAGTTTGCCAAGTGTTCAGCCATAGAGGCTTACCCTCAGTACCTGAAAGGAAACCAAGGGCTCTATTAATAGTCTATATTATTTTGGAAATCATTTGGACTATCTTGAACAATCACTTAAAAGAAATTCTCTCATACCTGGTAGTGGGGTTTTGTTATCTATGGTTTTGTTTCTCTGGTTTTGTTTGTTTGTTTTTTGGTGGGGAGCATTGTCAGTCTAATGGCTTTATCAACTTCATACATACATACATATATACATACAGAATAATATAATTCCTTGAGGACTTATCAAATATTCTTGGTGTTATTTGTCCCCACCTCTCCTTCTCCTGCATTGCCCACTCCCATTTTCTATTTGCCACTTCATATTACTTGTATCCTACTATTCCACTATCAGGTCAAACCCTACTACCTTCCACACTGTGCATGGTCCCTTTATACTTTCCTGGTTTATGTGGTTACTCAAACTCTATACTCATGTCTGAGGATTTGGATCTAGAAATTAGAGAGAGAGGAGAGAGAGAGAGAGAGAGAGAGAGAGAGAGAGAGAGAGAGAGAGAGAGAGAGAGAGAGAGAGAGAGAGAGAGAGAGAGAGAGATTATCCATTTTCCAGTTGAAGGACATCTAGGTTGTTTCCATTTTCTGGCAATTGTGCATAGAGCATCAAAGAAAAAACAAACAAAGAATCTGTGGAATAGGATGTTGAGTCTTGGTGTTATTTTAACTCTTCAATTTTGTTTTTTAACTTTTGGAGGATTTTTACATACTGATTTCCAGAGTGGCTACACCAATTTTCATTCCTACCAACAATGAATGAGTGTTCCTCCCTTTCCATGCCCTCACCCCCATATGTTGTCAGTTGTTTGGTTGATCTTGACCATTAGGACTGTGGTGAAATGAAGTCTCAAAATTGTTCTAATTTGCATTCCCCAATTGCTAAAAACTATGAATGAATTTTGATGTATTTCTTAGCAATTTTTATTTTATGGCTCTATTATCTGGAAGTCTGGATGAACAATGACTACAGTATTCCCTTTGCTTATGAATGCTTTGGAAGTGACTTCTGGATATGACTTCTTCATTTCCAAAGAGACAGTGGTATTATAGTTGCTCTGTGGATGAATGCCTCCATGGGACTTCCTGTAAATGTGGCAGTAATTTTGCAAACACGGATACTAAACCAAAAGATGTGCACCACCGAAATGAATCAGAATTAATATAGACTGGCTATGAACTATTAAGCAGCTCTGGAATAGTGCAGCATGGGAACTCCATTTATTTGAAAAAAATCAATTTGCCCTATTAAGTTGATTTGAGATTTTGTCCTACCTGTCATGAAACTAAATATTCTAACCAGTCTGTAATTGCATGCCTTGTTTCCTTTAAAAATGAAAAAGAGTAACTATGATTTAAACATAGTGTACTATTCAACACATTCATATTCTCCTGGTCACCTTACTTACCTCCTGCCCAAACTCATCATCTTTACTTAAATCTTTGTCACAATTTTGCATGAAATGAATTACGACCTCATAGAACATCCAGATTTCTTACTTTTCCATCTTTAATTTTCTGTCATCCATCTCTATGCCAATTTCTTTGTTGTCCTAGCAACATTTTAAGAAGAATCTGCACCCCTATTGATGAACTATAAAATGTTCCCATTGTAAGAAGAATTTGCACCCCTATCTATGAACTATAAAATGTTCCAATTGTGAGGAGAATCTGTACCCCTATCTATGAACCATAAAATGTTCTAATTGCATCTTATTTTTTATTTCCAAAGTACTTCTGATTCTTTCCCAAGTCCTCTATCTCCACTTGCATTCATAAAAATGTTTCTTTCTATACATAGTACTTATTTCATTTCATACTCTATCTTCTTACTTTTATCTACATTAAATCTGAATCATTTAATTGACTCCCTGAAAACACAACCAGTAACTGTTACATTTCTGCATCCAATCTGCCCTGTTGTGTAACATTGTTAAGGCTCCCTGCACTACCAGGTACAGTTGTGCACTCTATCTTTTCTAAGCATTTCTCTTCCTCAGCGATGGTATAAATGTTCCCAAGAACCTATTCTGGAGCTACTTACATATTTCTAAGTTTACATTATTTCCCTGAGTTACAGCAGACTTCAGCTATTCTTATGACTTTACCCCTTTCAAATCTCATTTTGTTTACAAATATGTATGTGCTGAACATACATCATTAAATCTACAATTCTACTACAGTAGAATCTACTACAAATTTACTACTGGAATCTATAGTTCCTGAAGGTTTGCACACAGCGATCTTATAATTTGTCTTCTGCAATACAAAAAATCCCAGTAATTTTCCTTTGCACAAAAAATATTATCTTTGAGCTGAGCTGGGCATTGGTGGCACATGCCTTTAATCCCAGCACTCTGGAGGCAGAGGCAGGCAGATCTCTGTGAGTCCACGGCTAGCCTGGTCTGCAAGAGCTAGTTCCAGGACAGCCTCCAAAGCCACAGAGAAACCCTGTCTGCATATTTCACAACTCTCTTGCACAGTCCTGCACATCCACTGTGTGCCTACTATTAGTTAATTACTTCTCTAAGCTCGTATCAGGTAAAATGTTCAGCAGTTAAGATCACTTGTTATTCAAACAGAAGGCCTGGGTTAAATCCCCAGTGGCTCACAACTGTCAATAACTCCAGTTCTAGGGGGATCTCAATGCTCTCTTCTGACTTCCAAAGGCACCAGACACAGATACAGTATACATGCAGGCAAAGAACTTGTACACATAATGAATAAATATCTAATTTAAGTGAGTATTTAATACCTCTGAGTTCTTGCACTATTACAAATGTCTCACGTGTTTTTAGGGGGGTTGAGACAGGTTTTCTCTAGGTAACAGTCCTGGCAGTCCTGGCATGCACTCTGTAGACCAGGCTGGCCTCGAACTCACAGAGTCCCACCTGCTTCTGCCTCCCGAGTGCTGGGATTAAAGGCGTGCGCCATCACTGAAAGTCTCACTTTTAACCATCCCTTCAACATTGCAGATATCACCTGGGTAAAAGAAAAGCATGAAACTTTACGAACTGTATGACACCTGTTTTCTTATTCATACTCAGGATCTCAGTTGAGAATATTATGGGGGACTCAGTTACTGAAATTAAGCATGTAGAGCCTTTTGCTCCTATCCCTTTGGCCTTCCTGACGCAGTCAAGTAAGTGACCACCTGTGTCAAACTGCATCAGCTTTCATCCACTTAAATCCATTTCGTCTGCCACTAATCCTGTGCCTACTTACTTTAAAGGGTTCATAAGTGTTTTCCTCATCCACCTACACTAACATAACAACAAATAGGGCCTTTTAAAATGCAAACAAGTGCATCCCTGACATTAAAACTTCCCATAGGTCCTCATTCACATCAGTTATAGGGAAATCAAGAGGCTTGCCAGCTCTTAATTGCTCTGTCCAGCTCAGGCCATGATGCTTTTCTAGCTGTGTGCCAGTCTGCTTTCAGTAAGGCAGGATACCACACCTTTGAATTTTAAGTTTCTATAGCAATTCAGATTGGCTCCCTCCCGAGCAACGTCCAGAAAGCTGTTGCCCTACAGTGCTTTCCTACTGATTTCTCAAATATCTGCCTCTTTCCTACATATCTCGATTATATGTAACCGTTTTGAGGAGCATGTCTTGAATACCATATATAGCAGTTCATTTTGTTCCTATCAGAGATTTTCTAACACAAAAACTCAGTATTTCAGAATATTTGTCACAAATAGCAGTCATCTCGCTGAACTTGGCTGCTTGCTCGCTGTCTGTTCCATTGGTGGAATACACACTCCATCCAGTTGCATCTCTCTTTAATTTTCTTGCCTTTATGTGCACAGCAGGGTTTCAACAAAATTGTTGTGGCACTGATGTCTAAGTGTTGAGACTAAGTGACATTATTTATCATCCAAGGACACATGTGAAGTGCCATTCTTTCTCCAGAAATCTTTAGTGTTCTCTAAAATATACTTAGCTACTGTTGGGTACCCCAAGGAATGTTACTTCTAGAATTTAAAGTTTTGTGTAACTTTTCCATATTCTAGCCAGATTTATATTTATGCAAACTATGCCTTGCTCTAGAGAGAAATATCAAGACCTGAATTACTATTTATGCCAATATAGAGAATATTTTAAGATGAGAAGAACTAAACTCTAGAGATTTTTTTTCAAGGTAAAAAATTTGTATTATACAAGTCATCAGTGCAAATTTACTTCAAATAGACACTTTGCTAAAAGCGATTTTCATTACCATGTATTGGTATTGTCATCACATTCAAGAATATGCCAAGTAATGATATGGAAGCTTAAGACATTAGTGACCATGTTCCCATGGTGCGTGAACAATGGATGTCCTCATGTCCATGTGTGTCTTCAGTCGTATGTGCCATATGATGTATTTCTTTTCGGCAAGAATGGGGCACAGCACATCCAGGTAGAGAAGCCCCCACTTATACCATGGTTTAACATTCATTCTTGCATTATTTCACCTTCCCTGGTTTATGTAAACTAAAGCTTGTACAAAGTTAAAAATTGCAGCCCTCAGTATCTTTCCAATGCCAAGAGCCGTCTTGTAGAATAGAACCAAATGAGGCAGCCTTCAGGCAAGGACACGAAATCTTCTAGTACATATAATATCAAAGGTCTGTTTTCTGGGCAGCCTGTTTCTGCTTTCCTGTTTCTAATGTCCCAAGAGTAAAGTGAAAAGCTTGGAAGCAGGATTTTCCCTTTGAAAATGTTTCCTCTCTGGCCATTCTGGAGATTTTATGAGGTGTTTGTAATTTAAGTTAGCTTAAATGAACCTAATTACCTCAATTGATTTAGCAATTGCTGTAAGAAGTTGTTATAAATAACAGATAACAAATTGCAGATTTCTCTTAATGGAGAATGTGGAGAGATGAAAATGGATTTTTAGATACTAGACTAGAAAGCTAATTACGTTTGATGTACAATGGGAAACAGTAGAATTAAATGTCCACCTGTTGTACTGGATGAAACTGTATGTTGACTGACTGCAGTATTGGAACAAGAATCCGCAGAGTGTTGGCTGAAGCCAGCTTGACACTGTTAGGAAACTCTGGGAATGAGAGGGGGCCTACAGGCACAAATGGGAGAAATGTCACTTTAGCAAGAGAAGCAGTTTCTGCCCAGTTTGACATCTGTATTTCCAGATAATCCTATAATTCAAACCTTTAGAAGATTAAAAGATAAAAGCCCTGCCAGTACTCTTAATAGAAACCATTGTGAGGACAGAAAACTACAGCCTTTGGAAGAGATAAACTGGTAAGAGGCCAGGAAAATTCAGATAGTATCAAGGAAGAAATGAGAGTGAGGGTTTGGCTTCCTCCCAATATTGTCTTCTAATAGTCCAAGTCAATGTCCAGTAAGTTAAAGGAGGGTACATGGGCAGTGTAAAGGCCAATCAGTGAAAAGAACACTTAGTATGAAGATACCCAGCCTAGACTGTAGTGTGACTGGCAGT